CGCTCGCCCGTTCGTCGCCCCGTTCGTTTCAATACGGATCATATGCAGACCATTACAGACTTTCCTCCTATCGGATCTCCGTGATCTCTTCCGACCCACTTGCCAGCCATCGCAAACTGCTGGCCAAGGGGCAACATGAACTTTCTCCGAGCAGCAGGGCAGGCAGGTCGGACGGACGCAGGCACGCCGCTGAGACGGCCGCTTCGCTTTGCGATCCTCAGAGAGCGATTTATAGGGACAATGAGGCGTAACTTTTCATTTGTACATTTTCTCTTATCTGCCGTTCCGCTCGGAGGTGGATACGATGATCGTTCGGGAGGAGATATTGTTCTGACGCGAATCACCTCATGTTCCCAGGCGTTCGTTTCGGGGTCGAATCAATAGAAGCCACGAGATTCAGCGGCTCACGCCTCGGTTGAGGTCACGGGCACATGTAGCCCCATGATTTGCACATGGAGTGCATCGCAAACTCCATCAGTAGGAATGCCGCTGAGCTCGATGCGGAAGAAACGGGAAACTCGAGATGTCAGCGATTTCCCTCTAATGGCATCCGCGAACTGACGAGTGAGTAACGCTAATCATGAGACGCTAATGAAAGTGGAGGCTGTATTGCATTTCTGAGGACAAATCGAGCATCAGACAGACCGGCGACTCATATAACTTGCCCTCGTTTGCTTGCGAGGCTCACTTGCGCGAACGTGCGCCCCCGCGCATACTCACGCTGCACTGCTCTTGGAGGATCGAGCGACGACGTTGTCGAACGAGGCAGGCGGCGGCGACAACGACGACGACGCGGCAGGAGCAATGAGAGAGGTAAGGGAGATGGGGCTTCATTCACATAGTTCACCTCTTAGCTCTCGGATGATTTATTGAATGCTGTGCCATTTTTCGCTTTCCATTTAGCAAGCAAGCGGAGAACAGACTGCTGCCTCGTTTTCTGTATGGATAGCTGCAGACTTGCAGCTCCACTGGATGGCCCCTCGAGTCGTTGGATCGGGGCTTCCGTCTGTTGCTCGATCCCGCGCGCAATCGAAAAAAAAATCCCTTCCTGAGTTACAAACGTTCACATCACAATCAGAGAAGTTCGGCCGCCGCAACCGCCTCCGCATAAACAAAACACGAGAGCCTCTTGAGCAAAGGAGAGCGTCGCTCGCTCGCTCGGTCGTCTGGCTGAAGCCCCCATCGGGGAAACAGTTCGACAGTTAGCACAAAGAGTTCTCGCGCTAGGGTCGCGCGCCGATAGCCCGTGGCTGTTTCAATTTGGAAAGAAGCTGCCCCCGCATCCTCTGCGTTCCCTCCTCTCGATCACTCTCTACTTCTTCTCGCTGGGCTTGCAGCATGCAAGCTTCTTGCAGAGTTCTCAGGAACGTCAAATGAGCGGACGGATTGTCTCACTCATTCACTCTATCAGAGGGGGCGCTGTTATTGAGTACAAAAAGGTTCAATGGAACTTCTGCAACGCTCGCTTGCTTGCTTGCTCGCTCACTCACTGGATGAGGTGTTGATTATAAGAGATATTTCCATGAGAGTTTCGAGAGCCTGAGAGGATTTGTTCTTCGTCGTCTCTCTTTCGGATATCATCACTGCTCCCTCTGGCAAAGGAAGTCCCTTTGAAGAAGAAGATGGAGTACCTCAAATGACCCCCTGCCACTGACCAAAACGGACAGCTAGCCGCCCGCCCGCTCTGCTGCCCTGCAGACTGGATATTCTGCGCAAAAGCCAGTAGTTGCATTCCGGCCGTTCTCTATGAATTTTAACAAGCCATGCAACAATTTATTCGTTTTTCGCTCCGGAGTCGGCGAGTCGCTTGCGCTCTTCGCTCGTACTGCGGTAAGGGAGAAAAGTTTGACCTCACACTTACACCTCGGAACAGGATATTTCCGCGTGCCATTCAATTAGACTCAAGCTGAATCAATACAAATAAAGCAACCGAGTGACCAAGTGACCGATGGGATCTTCTATCTGGAGGAACCCCCTGCGAAGAGATTTCAAGTCGAATAATTACAGAATGGGATGGATGTTTTCCCCTGATATAATCCCCTTGTTCGGAATCAGGGTTTCGGGATGCCATCGAGCGCGGGAAACGCACGGCAGATCCCGGTAGAAAAAAAACAGATCAATTTAAACAAACAGAAAGCTCTTCACGCACGATCATAATTCCCGCTAGCTCGCGCGTCCTCTCCTCAGATATATCCGAGGGTTATCTCGGATCTGGCCATACGCCGAATCTTACAGTCGGGGGAAAGGAAATCAGCTTTCAAGCAAACGAGTGGGAGCGATCGAGAGCGGTAAAAGAAAGGAACGGCAGGGACCGTAAGCCGATTAGCTGCGAAAAATTAATTATTGCGGATATTTGCGCTTCAATAATGATCAAAATAATCACGGCCGGCACACGACTCTAAAGCTAACCATGGGTAGCGAGGGGGGAAAATCAGTCCAAAGCGCTTCCATCCTACAGAGTGTGATATATGCGTCCACAAACAACTGTATTTTTGGAAATAATCCTGAATAGCTAAAGATATCTGGATATCGTTTTTTTCTCGTAGTATCGAGTTCTTGGAATAATCAGGGAATACCGATTCCATGATTAATAATCTCATGCATGTGAAAAATCAGTCCACCTATACAGGATAGTTTCCTTCCCGATCATACCTCGCCCGCCGGACATGGTGTTGTACCTCTCGACGAGACGGATAGTCTCTCTAGATGAATATGTGCGAAATCTCTGACATGACACGGTCAGGATCAGCAGAGTGCAGTTGAATAGCAGTCTGCTTGGTCTGCTGGTTGTTGTGCAGTTAGGCCTTTTGAAAGATGAGGGACCATTTGGTCGCGGCTGATGCCGAGAATGGCGCAGAAGGGCTACACCCTTTTACCGTCGCGTCCCGTCCCGTCCCGCCCCCCCCCTCCCTTCAGAGGAGCAGCAGCAGCAGCGAAAGCAGCACACAGAGAACGTAAAGGAGAGCTGAAAGTGAGTATAATGGTGGAGGATATATCAAAACAGTAAAAAGAAGGAAACACACGACGCTACATTTAACCCCTGAGTGGCTCTTTTTACCAACGAGCCCTTTCATTCTCTCTTTATCTTTTTCATTCTCGGTCCGTCCGCATGCCTCTCTCTTTCTCTCTCAGAACTCCCCCTCGCTCAATGAGTCCGGAAGGAAAGCTCTCTGCTTAATTGTTAAGGCATTCATGCACGCATGCACCGTTGACTAACAACATCGCATTCGGACTAACAGTCAGGCAACCAGTCTTCCCACTTTTTATCCCGCGTCCTCGCTACTTGCTGCTCGCGGCAGGAGAGTCGAGAAGCAAAGGAAACCGATAGATTGAAGTCCCAAGGATTGCCCGCCCCTGGATATCCTAGAGATTCAGACCCAAGGGAACTTCTAGGCCACTCAAGCAACTGATAACTCTCGCAGACAGTGATGGTCAAATTTATTTTCCGGGAGCTTCTGCGCTCGGAATGCCGACTCGACCTCGGACCGCAATCGGATATCCGACTCGGATTCTGGAAATCCCGAATGCAGACATCTTGATATTTTTCCTAATCTCGCAGATTTGACGCCCGAGCCGGGATAAGCAGGACGGGCGCGAGGAGAACAAGCTGAGCAGGATATGGGCCGAGCAGCTTGCGGGCTCTCTGGTAACAGCCACTAAAATGGACACGGAGTCCTAAATAAACAACTAGGATCCATTAGCTGGTACGCGAGCCAGGTAGGGAAACTTCTGCGTAAAAGAGTTAAGTGTTTCCTATTTGTGACTGGCCAGTGCGCCTCGTCTGCATCAGTAGCAATAAATGTTGTCGCTTACCCCTCTCTTCCCTCCCTGTGACTGTGTGTCGCATACATATATCTCTAAGCCGGCTTCTTTGTCTCTATTCTTATTTCTCGTACACTCTGCTAGCCTTCAATAGCTCTGGCGAGTTTGCCATCACGCTCACACCATCACGAACACCAGCGACGGCAGCATTAGCAGCGGCACGTGTATGTATTGCTTCCCCCGACTGGACATTGGAGAAGTGTGATGAATGGTTGGATTAAAGGCTGCGGGCGGGCGGATGGTTGATGGACGCTCGAAGGGAAGGGTGAATGGGTGACCAGCGTTGAAATATTCTCCTCAAAACGCTGCGTCTTGGCTTGAGGTGACCGGCGGGTTAAAATTCGAAAGATACACTCCTTGATGGATTAAACGTCAGATAGCAAACATGCTGATGCTCATGATGATGACGACAGCGACGATGAGAGAGGCAAGGATCCTCTAATCGGTTAGACGAAAGTTAGGTGAGTTAGGTTGAGTCGGCTGATGAGTTTTAGGAGATGAATGAAGAGCGCACTCCATTCTACTCATTCTATTCGCCCGAGCCTTCAGTCTTCGAAGGCTTTGCTGGCCTCGAGCTTACAGATTGTACTCCGAAAAAAATCATGATCTACCCTTGGGCTCGGCCTGGGACGTTCCTGACAGGGCTCCCCTACGCTTTTTGAAACGGTGGGCTCGCATCACGGAGTCGGTGTTCCGCGTTCGGCTACTTAACAAATCGCACATACATTCGATGCATGCGACGGAAAATACGCGATACAATCTGCGTATCAAGACGCTAAATGATGCCGTCACGCGATACGACCAACATGATTTGGACGAGTCATTCGGATACTGGTCCGATTCGATCGTTGACCTCGAAAGCGAAATGGAGAAAATACCATTGGATTGAATTTTCCAGCGTTTTGGAATCGCGGACGTAAGCCGTCTTAATCGGCTGAAATATGAGAGCCGCAGAACGTCCGTGTCTTTCCCCGTCGCAGCTCGCGTGACGACTTGTGATAAAAGCGTGTGAAAGAAGAACTTTCTGGAAGTTCAGCCTCGCGGACGTCCAGTTGATTCATGTCAGTTTTCTTTTGCGGGAGAGGATGAACCGCTAGCTTCCTTGGAGAAGGTAACGCCGGCGATTCCGAGCATCCTCCTCGCTCACTGTCCGCTACCAGAGTCGGAACTCGACACGAGGACATTTGGTCAACACACTGATGTGCAAAGCCGTCCGAGATCAAACGGCATGGAGTTGTTGGTGAGTTCAGGAATCTCTCCTTCTGTTCGGTCTTTTTGTCGGTTTTCTTGCATCAAATTCGAGGCGAAGTGCCTCCCTCCAAACTTCCGAAACGGAACGCGGAACGGACCTAACCGAGAGCTCCGGTGTTGGAACATCGGATCCACGTTCGATCGCGTCGTTCTTGCGAGCCTTTTCTACCGGCGAGAGCGCCCCGAGAATTGCGTCGAGGCTTTGCGTGGAGCTTGTTCCACTCCGGCTCCGAGTGGAATACGGCACTGAATCAGTCAGCTGGTGGAGAAAGTCAGAATTTCTGCTTCTGATCTTGGCGGTCGAGGCTTTGGGGCGCTCTCAGTTCCATCGGGACGTCGGCGCCGGTCGGACTCACTGCGCCCGCTGGACAATCGGACAGCAACCCCATCTGGATGTCCCAACTTGTTTTTTCGTGTTGATTTCTGGCGAAGAATCTACCGTACACGCCCCTCGCAGTAGCAAAGGCACCAAAGGCTACTGACCGGATTTCGTCGGCGGAGCCCGATCTTCTTCTGCTGCTGTAGGTGAATGACATTGCGGAACGACAGAAGGTTACTTGCCGAACAACTCCGAACCAGCTACTGCCGCTACTGCCACTATCTTTCCGAAAGAGCGCAGCCAGAAAACTGATGGAAACAGAACATTCGCTACGCAAATATGACGCCGGTCAATTTTCTGAGTGTGCGCGCTCCGTTTCATGACAAGTGACCGAAATTCACGCTTCGTTCTGAAGCCGTCACTTACCATTGACAGTAGAGCGTCAGCCTCGCCCCAACGGTTCGGCATGACGTTTGACTCGAGCTGACAATTGATGCCTGGCTATCACGAGTAACGGAGCCGAGGTGACGACACACGAGGCAAGCCGCACAATTTTCTCGACGCTGCTTCCTCCCATTTTCAGGTTTTGACAGTGGCCCTCCTGGGCAGCCTCGTGGAATCCCAGTACCCCTATGCAGTACCCCCTTATTTTGTGGTGACTCAAAACTACCACGATATGTTGACGTCCGGTACTCACTTGATTCCCATTCACCAACCGCATTACCACAGCGGTCCGCATTTCGTCTTCCCGCGGTATATCCCCATTAATGGAGCGTGGATGGGGAGCAGCCACTCGGCTTACCAACAACCCATAAACAACCTCCCTCCATTGCCCCCCATTCCCGCCGGATATCCACCTTTGCCCTCCATTCCTCCACCTGGAGGCTCGGGGGCAGTTGTTGTTACTCCTGGAGGAGGTGGCGGCACCGTGACACCTGTACAACCGCCCCGACCCGTTCAACCCCCCGTCGTGGTTCCACCACCGACTACTCCTCGACCCTCTGTTCCCGTAACTCTACCACCCCCGACTCGACCACCATCGACCCCGGCTCCGCCTGTGGTTATCCCCACTACTCCGCGTCCAGTCCAGCGGCCGTCGCCGAAGCCCATTGTACCGGTCACGGTGCCACCTCCGCGACCAGTTGTGACTCCTAGGCCAGTTCCCGTTCAACCCCCGCAAGATGACGATGACGATATTGCTGACCCCATTTCCAACCCTCCCGTCCTTTCCGCTGCACGCAACCCGGTTAGTACGATATAGTCACTCGAGATAGTCTTCCTGATTTCTGGGATGCATGTCTAGCCTCTTTTCGAAAAACTTCAAAATTGGATTCCATCAAGCGATGCCACGCTCGACAACGGCGACTCTCGAGGAGCTCGCTCCTCCGCTTCGATGGAATTTTGCTAAGGATATCTAATTATTCTCCTTGTAGTCACCGTTCCATCTCTATTACGACAATCCCGGCGATTTCTTCATAGATCCGAGATATGTTGTTGATATCAAGAGCCGAAGTCAGTGAAGAGATTAACGACCAACCAAATAAATAAATCACTCGAAAAATTTGACAAATCGTTCTGATTTCACTCGGGGCTATCGTCCCATTCGCTGGCGTCGACTCTCCCGCGCCCCGATCGATATTGGAACAGGTTGCACAAACTCCGAGGTAAGGGTGTTAGAGTGAGCAAGCACTGGAGGGGAGAAGCTATCGGACCGGCGACGACTCGGGAGGTCAGTCGGTCGGTCCGCCAAGCCGCTAGGAAGAGCGTCACCGCTCCAACTCGCCTCGCACTGTTATTCTTTTCAGTATCGGGGAAATGAGCCGATAGGGAAAAAAGCTGTACAAAATCGAATGGACAGACAGCGAGGGCTTCCGTTTTTATGCGCAGCCCCACGATTAATTAACAAAGTAATTTCATTTTTCTCTGCCCGTTCATTCTTCGACTTTGTTGCAAGGAAAACTAATTGGATTGTCGTTGAACTCGGCAACTACAGTGAATACCGTTTATATCGGGTCTTTTCGTTCACGTTCTCCGTTTCTCTCTTCTCTCAGCGTTTTTGGAGTCAACGAGGGACTCAAGGAACGTGGGATTCTCCTCGGAGTGGAAGCAATGATAAGGGGGAATGATTTTTACAGAAACGGCGATTCTTGCGCGAAACCCTGTTCGGAATCGGTGCATCGCGCTGACGGCTGCGAACGGCCTCTCTTTCGAACGAAGATGTCAGACAAATCTCCCGGCGGTTGCAGCAGCAGCGACGACAGCAGCTGCTACGATATGCAACAATTTTTTCGCTCCTAGCGATGACGGTCACAGAGACAACGGCTGCGAATAGTTAGTTCAGTGATGTCGCTCCGTTGCTGATGCCTGTTTCAATTAGAAGCTAGCCCCGGGCTAAACTATCGGGGTAAAAAGCCAAGGAGCGAGCATTTGCTTATTCTTTCCGCTGTCAACATTGAATGAATACACGAGTATTTCTATAATAATGATAATAATGAAACTGCTCGCTAACCCCTCGACTCGAGTGTGAAAGGGAGATGAGGCGAGAGGAACAAGTACGATGGCAAGGAGAGATAACCAAAAGAAGAAACCCACATCATTTGCATATAGATTCGACGCGGCTCAGCATTATAATAGTTACAGACATCAGCCGTCGAGCGCCCTCGAGCTCTTGTCCCAGATTTCTCGATTTTTATTCTGCCGCAGTCTCCGAATTGATCCCACTCACTTGGTCGGAGGAATTATTTACTCGTTCGAAATTTATTCGCCATGACCGCGAGACCGGAAGATTCCCGACGACCAGCGATTCCCGCTCTGGATTCACGCAGGATCCGTGATACGGAAGGACGAATAATCCTGGGCCTGGAGAAGAGCGAGATCCGATCAAAATTTTCGTGCTCCGCTCCGCCACCTGCGCGCAAGGGGAGTCGATGGCGCATCCGACCTTTGAAGTTTGACGTGGCTGGGAAGTTTTTGTTGATGCTCTTAGCGAGTCAAGGATCTGATATGATTGGAGTGCTGCTCATACTCGCAAGAGGAGACAACGTATTCCACCTCCAAGCTATCAGAGAACTCCTCATCGTTGTCGTTGGCATCGTCAGAGTCTAACTTCCCCCGTCTCAGAGGCATAAGAGCGACTGTCAAAGACGTTATACTCCTTTGTGCAGCCTGAGTCAAGTGCTGAGTCCCACTCGTCAGAAGTGAGGCGTTCGGCTGGCCTATCGCATTCCTGATCGTTTTCCTCGACTTCGACGATGACGCCATGAAATCATATTCGAGCAGTCGAAACCAGACGCACAGCTCACTATTCTTTTGCACATTCATTGCGAGTGACGAGGCGTCAGGATTCGCAACTAATGAATCGGAGCTGTATAGTTCTGCTCACTGGTAAAGCAGTGTGCTGGCGAACGGGCTGACTGGCTAGCTAGCTGACCGAAGGAGCGACCGGCTCGCGAGGCTTTTGAAAAGAAATTAAGCAAAGCTCTCGTTCGTCGAAGACTCTGAAGGGCAGCGTCTGGCCTGCCAAACTATGGGTGCTTGCTTGGTCGGCATGCTCTTGGTGGACGTCGGCCTGGCTGGCAGGCAAGCGGACTGGCCTTTCAAAAACCCAGGCTTCGCCTTCATTAATCTCGTCGTCGTCCCTTCGTCGTCGTTCTCTCGTTGCGTCTCTCGAATGAGCGACGCACGAAAGCATACGAACGATGGATGGTTTTGACGAGATTTTGTTGTTTTGTTTAATATTCCTCATCCCTTCGTTCAATTAATTCATCTTTCAAAACCCTCGCCTGCCTGAATTCTTCCTTGATTCCCCGCTTTTTAGCTCCGTTCATTCGCTGCCGCCACCGCTTCCGCTATAGCTTGGTTTCTGTCGTTAGCCAGCGGTCGGTGACCAGCTTTAATTTTTAACTAACAGATCTTCAAATTGAATTCTCCTCCCTCCCGTTAGCGTCGCACTCGAGTGCCTTCCTCGGCCTCGCGTACGCATACCCCGGTTGAGGGTTGCCCCTTAAAGCCCTAGTCCCGAGAATGGTATCCATCCGTCTCGAACTCGGATATCCATCCCCGTCGTCACCTTTCCATCGCTCACGGCCCGTGTGTCTGCAGGCCCATGGTCGGATGATTTCCGTGCTACAACATCCCCTACCAGACTCGACCTGCTGCCCCCCCCCGCCTATCCCAATGTCAAGCCACTAGCTCGAACGCTCAGCCGCTCGCAGGGCCTAGTGGCCTCTCCGTAGAGAATCGACTCCGTGCTGACAGACCCACCATTCGAAAAGAGAAGAAACAATCCTCGCCACTCGGCTGCGCAAATTCGAAGTCCGGAGGGGATGATAGATGTAGTAATGATTATTCCCTCAGTTTACGGTCAACTGCACCCTCCGACGCGGGAATCGCGGGGCTTTGACGGAGTATCGATATATTTAATAACCAAAATCACCACCGGCACTTGCACCCTGGAAGAATTAGGAGTCAATGCTGTGCGAAAAGAAGGAACAGTGGGGAGTCTACTCACTAGACCGTGTAGTAGGAGCCTTCCTATTACCGTAGTCTATGAACGAAGTGGGGACCACAACTCTATTCCAACTTCATTTTTCATCCTGCTCATAGGGAGTTGTCCTCGCCAACGAAGTCAGATAGATTACGATGTTAAACGGTAACTGTTGCTTGTCCATTCCCAAGGATTCGCGGGCGCCGACGGCGACCTCAATGAAGGGACGAACAGTCGCACAACAAAACATTTAATAATGTTGGCGTTTCCGCGGAGCTGCACGATGTCGGTGTTGTCGAATATTGCGCGGGGATAATTTCATTCCGACACCGAGAACTGATGGTTGACGTGCTACCAGTGCCATTGTGCTGCTCTCTAATATGCATCTCTCGCCTTCTGAATGGATTCCGCGGGAAAGATTCTGCGTGACTGGAAATCATCTCGGAGGTCAAAGCCATTGAGGAGTCCTATAATCAAAACGAGAATCGCTGGCGACCTTCATCGCTAGGAAGGTCAATGCACACCGATAGGCCCCCGATCGAGGCTGCGACCCTCGAGCTAAGAAAATTCTTTGACCGATTCCGAACTTACGACGAGAAGATGGCTGCGAACTCTCGGAGGATCAGGAAGATTCTCTCCCACGAAGGTCGTGGGTTTCACGAGAATCGCGCTCTACTTCGCGGTCCTTCCTCACCGTAATAATCCGCGTATCTTCCCGTAGGCTGTTCCTCGATGTTAGCGGATAGCCTCGTCTATCACACGTCGATGACCGAAAATGATGATGAGTCAGCCGCATCCATCGCATATCTGAATCACGAACGTTCTGCAGAGAATTACGACAAGGAAAACTGCGAAAAAGGTGGCGCTGCGGGAGTCGCGACTCACTAAGAGTGAAGAACAAGAGAGCGAGACCATCAAGAATATTGGTCCGTCTGTGGTACGAGCTCCTTGCCTGACGCTTTGTCGGCTCGGCTATCGTTCAGAAGGGTATAAAGAGAGAAAGGAAGAGGAACTTGAAGACAAACCGACTCACGGTCACATAGATAGGGGCATAGATACCAGCGCGCAGAGATGAGGAGCCGAGGAGTACTGACGTAGTTAAAGGAGAATATCGGAATGAGTGGTCGTCGGCGTCGTCGTCTCCTGCCCACCTCGCAGCTTTGGCTCCTCTCATTGGGCTGCGTTGAAACAAAGAACTCCATCCACGGGAACGACCGGCAAACCAAAGAGAATCACGTCGGATATACGGACCGACCAAGTGACGGACTGACGTACAGACAGACAAATCGACGGACGAGCCATCCAGTCAAAGCACGACCGACCGACCGAGTGACTGAACGAGGTGTCAGCCATCGTCTTTTGTTCTTGTGCGGTTCGTCGTCGTCGTCTGATATTGGCTTCAGCAGCAGCACTACTATCAACCTACTCTGTCGCTGCCGCTTTCAGATAGACAGAGCGACAGACAGGCGGACCGTCGTCGCTCGAACGGACCAACCGACCGACCAACCAAGCGCTGGAAGAGATATATCCAACAAGAAAAGAAGAATATGCGAGCAGTGCCCCACCCTTTCGAGGTTTCTCGGTCCCGCTCGAACTCTCCTCCTTGCTTCTTCAATCGCTAAGTAAGACCATCCAACTAGTTCGCCGCTGGTGAGAGACCCGTAATCGAATACAAACCGGTCCTCTGACTAGAGGATCGAAGAATCAGATTTGGAGAGCTGTATTCGGCTAAATACCCGGGGCTCTTCTCCCTCTTTATAATATTCTTCATCTCTAGATACGGTACTCAGGTCGAATTCTTGATCTCTCCGAATGTTCTCCGATCTCTAGAAGCTAAGCAGCCAAGATTCCATGTCTCCGAGGAAATAGTTTCCCCCGATTGAGTGACAAACCCGATGTCTTGGTGAACAGCATTTCAGGGAATCCGTCGATTTCATTCTGAATACACAAGCTCTTTCGCAGACTCGGTCCTTTATGAATGAGAGACGTATCGGCTCAACTCTTGGCGTTCCCGTCTGGCCATCTAAGGATTTGAATCGGAACTCTGATGTCTGGGATTCGAAGGA